AATGAGATAACGATACATTAATGGGCATTTCGTAAACCAAAAGGTACTGTTCATTTATTGAAAGCGCCATTGTGTTTCGACGAGCCAATAGTCCGCTCTTAGAAGTTTCCATTAACCTTATGCCGCTGCCGGGTGTTGCTGGAAAACGTCGGAATTGTTACAAAGAGCGACCTATCGCGCCAGCTGGTCCAGTCAGCGCAGGAGGTATGAATTAACTCCTAGGAACCACACCAGCCATTTTCGCCGCAGGTATACACGGTCACATTCACCAGCGACTTAGTTGCAATGTTGTATTCGCTCACTTTATCAAAACGTCTATATATAGTCGCAACGGGGTAACAACCAAATCAAATGATTTCAGAGCATTATAGCTGTTTGAGTATTTAATCTCTTTCCAAGTTCTTTTTTATTGATTTTCTATACCTAAGATTTTCGACGACTATGAAAGCACATTTTGATAGTAATTCACGGCAAACATATTCATTAATATTAAATAATATTCCTTTAATTAATATTAAGACACTTTATATTTTTTCAATCGGTATTTAATAAAACCATATTTTTCATTAATTGAAAATTGCATTACAATAATTCAATTAATTTATACACATTCGTTACAATCTCATATATTGTATATATAAAATTTGATTTTTTATTTTTCTTAGAAAAATAAATTTCATGAAAATTTATCAGATTTTTTCAGACAAGAATTTTGAAGCATTGACTTGATAATGTCTAAATCGTTCTCAAGATCGTCATCGTGACTTAATATTCCTAAAAACGGCGATACGATAGGACATCCTGTTACGTCATTCCAACCCGCTGACTTAGAGTACGTGAATTATGGCCATCCATTCGCCGCGATAAACCAACCGAATTTACGAGCATTGATTCTTACTGTCTGACTAGTTTGCCGACCACAATCCGAGATGGTTCTTTGAGTCCGACCGAGCGCTGGTAACGCGAATAAAATGAGTTACGAGCTTTCTAAGAACGTTGGGGGATTTCAGATAAACCCTTTAAACGTTTGTAAATCCTCACAGCGTACACATACGTTGGAAAAAGAGATCTTATTACCGAAGTTTTAAAAAATTCACGAACCTTACCTCACGAAGATATATCAAAAATTGTAAAATTTTTAATTTTTATGTTATGGTACGCGTGCAAAGCGATTGAATAGAGATAAAATTTGTTTAACAATATGAAAAGCACTTAATAAAAATATGGATCAGCTACGGTACCGTTAAAAATTCTCAAATTCAAGAAAATAAAATAAATAATTTATTAATGAATTTACATTATAAATTGTATAAAATGTATAGCACATACTTTCAAATTTTAAAATTTCAGTAAATAATGTCTTCTCCCCTTCTTTTTAGATTTTTATATATTCATATTTTATGTCAGATTAATATATATAATTATATTAATAAGTTATATAATATAATTATATATTATATATAAATTTCTTATGGATTCTAAAATGTTGTATTATTATCAGCAATTTTTACTTTGTTATTCTTTATCAGTACCTTTATTCCACTCTGTACCAAAGCAACGCAATAAATATTGCGGTTGTAATTCAGTGCATTATTCAGACTTAAGAATCCCGCCGATCGCGCCGTGGAAACAATCTTCTACGTCGTAACAAATGTTTCAATTTCAAAGTACACGAGTCCCCATAAACATTGCCAGCGTTACGATCGCGAGATTGGGATTACAAATGCGCGGGAAAACATTACGACAATGTCACAAAGACCGTTTCGGCGTGCAGTTGCACCAGGCTAGCGTAGATAATAGCTTGGAAGCCGAATTAACGTCACACGCGCGCATCCCGCAACATGGAACCGCATTCGAGAACTGAAATATTCTTACTGTCTCCCTAGAGTAATCTACCCGCCGTTCTCCTGGTTCATCCTGCAGCTGATAAGGCGCCAGCGGAATTGAAAGATCAAAGGATTACCATTATTGCCTCGTCTCGCGCGCGTTTTTCACGAACGCGAGTTAACTCTTCTTATATATTTTCTCTTTCTCGATTTAAAATTTATGCACATGCATATCTATATATATTAAAATCTTTTATAGATTTATAAGCTATCGGTTTCGCAATTATGGCTCTAGCAATTAAAATTGAGAAATTATAAAAAAAATTATGAGAAAAGGGATACAATCTTAGAATCGTCGTTTTAAAAATCAATTATATGATAATTCGTTATTTTGTCTCTTTTCTCTTTTTCTCTTAATATTCTTCATATTTAAAAAATTATAATTATATAAAAACATAATTATACATATTTATATACGTGAAATATATTGGATATATCATAAAAAGAGCTTAATATTTTTTGAGGTCTGCATTGTCTTTACAATATCGAAAGATTAATATAGATTTCATCAATGAAGAAACAGTGCCATGCCATATAAATTTTTCGTTATTAGGTGTTTAAATTATTCGATGCACAAACTGGACTAAGAACAAGATTGATAATAAGATACTTTCAGGTTCTCATAAAAATTTTATGCATCTTTTGAATGTACTATACTCAATCTAACAATCTCAATAGAACTGATTTTTAACAAATTTATAATTTTAATTTATTCCTTTTTATAAAAAATTCATTGGAAGTAAAATTATATAATTACAACATTATTTCTATCAATTATTATTTGTCAACAATTGTCGTAATGACACATGCATTTATTGTGTGTGAAATTTTAATCGCAGTGCGCGATTAATATCAATAATAATATGAGATCGTTTCATCACAAATAAATGATTATATATATATTTAAAAACAAATTGTGCAAATATAAAAATATTGATTTACTGCACGCTAAATCGTCATATTTTCCAAAATATTCTTATAAAAACTGGTATTTATTTAGTTTTATAAAAAATCAAAAAAATTTAAAACATCGAATATTAAATTCAATTTTTGTTTTACAATTTTTATTTTTTTTTTGTAACTTTTATTTTTAAATAACATTTAAAATTGTCATATAAAGTTATATTTCGATCAAAATAAAAGGAAAAAAAAAGTGAAATCCAATGCAAAAAATAACTAATAACTATATCATACAAAAATAACTCTATTATACATAAAATTATTGATTTAAATACTAAAATTAATTTGAAGATCACATTATGTTAAAATAAGAATATTTATAAATTTGGCAAAAGCAATACACACTCTTGAAATTTGATTACATATGTATGCAGTAAATCATTAAACATTAATAAACAATACTTAAACAGGAAAGAATATTAAATAAATTTACTCACCAATCGTTCATCGCGTCGTCATATATATAATTCCTCTCTCGCCGAATATATTATTGATGGCTTTTTCTCCGTTTGTCTCTTCATCAGAAAGGCACTCACTCACGGATGCGAAACGATCAAAAATACAGTTAATTACGATCGCGCGTATTTACTGACGACACTCCCGACGCACATTTACATGCTTAATTTAATCCGAAAAATAGCAGGATTACAGTACGCACGATTACGGATATTATACGATCTCGCCGTAATTAATACTTAATCAACATAACGCGAAATGAACGCATACTTTATTACGTCATTACTGTTTGCACGTCGTGAAATTACTATTAATTGCATCGTTTATCGCGCGCTACGATAATCGTCCGATATTAAAATCGCACTCCCGACGATTTTTACTTGTCAGACTCACTCTGAGCGTCTAAAAGTACATAATTTTAGCCGACACTCCCGACAAGACTCGCACTTTTTAATCAACGTAACCGTATTCCGCTGCGTCACATAACCTAATCGTCAACCGCGCGTACATCTCGTCAAAAAACGGATAATCGTCAGGACGCACATTTATCTACGCGCTAGATTCGCACTCCCGATACTTTTTCGTACGCGAAACTCACTTTATAGATAGAGAGGAGAAGACGGAATTTGATGCCAATCAGTCTCGCGACGCGACGCGACGCGATCTTAACCGACTCTTGGAAAGGACTAAAAGTTTCGGGGGTGAAGGGAGGAGGGAAAGAAGCAACTTCTCGCTCTCGCTATCGTCGCGACATAAACAAACACGCACGTACGCAGTATCTTACGTATCACCGTTCCAATTCACAAAGTAACATACATAATGTCGCGTATCTCTTAATTAGCGCCCCGTCCGAGATATTCACGTTACTCGCGACAATTTTTCGTACGCGGTATTTTCATTTTGACCGAGTGAAGGTCGCGAGCACAACGGACGCGAATTATCTTCAAATAAATTAAGACGCTGTGACGTCACGGCGTGACGTCACATCTTGACGCAAACTTCGTACTAACGCTACCGTTTATGACCAGGGCACGGCAATAATACATATTTAAATATCGTGAAAATGGGCGAATTTCGATTGATCTAGCACAAAATTAACATTAAACAGATTGTTAGGAATATAATTAATAAAATGTTTTACAAATATATAACAAAATATATAAACTATGCGTGTATATAATGTGCTAAGGAAATGTATATATAAGCAAATTTCTTTATTAACGTTCGCATAACGTAATTAATGTATCGTATATAATGTGTCCCACGTATAAAGAAGCTTAATAGATATATATTTCGTGTACATATAGTGTGTGTGTATGTATGTATGTCATGTATGGAGGAATTTTATTTTTACGGTTTAGCTTTATTTACCGAGATAATGTTGCGTGCATGCCGATAAGGCTATTATATGCTAATTAAACTTACGCAACATTATTAATATAATTAGCGAAATTTTCACGATATATAAATTGCGGTTTATCCTCCTATTATACCGCACCAGATTGAGATTCAGTTATCACCGGTAATCGTTTTCAAATTTATAATATTTTTACCTGACACGCTTAGTCTATGCTAACAAATTTACACAGACATGTAATACATATATATAAAAAAATCAATCAATCACTCGTCTAGTAACTACGAAAAAGATAGCAATATGGCGTCCTATATATTAGTCATTTGATTGGTCAATTTCTTTGTCCATATTCATATACGCGGATTTGTCTAGATATATCCTCACGAGGATAAGAAGCGCGATCTACGTTTATTAGATCTATGACTGTGACGTCACGCGAAGAGTAAATATCGCGACCGAATGTACAAATCATGTATGTACAAACATATATACGCGCGATAAATTTGTTCGCACCGTTACGCGACGACGCGAAGTTGTTTATATATATGTTAAGACGCTCGGGAAGATCAGGACGCGTCGCGTTGTACCGGATCGAATGACGCCTTCTGTTCATTCGAGTATGTGCCTCGCGTGCGAACGGTATCGGCAGCCGTAGCGTTTACGACTCTCGTCAAAAGAAAGTCTAGTATATAATTGTCGGTTATAACGAGTGAATTTTGTGATTGCTAAAACAGTTAAAAATATACATAATATACAATAATCGTGTACAAAAGATTCGCTTAATACAACATAATATGTATATATGTATGTATGTGTGTGTGCGACGCGTCGTAAGTCGCAGTCTATTTCGCCCGAAAGTGTCTCCGGTCTACAGTTTTTGCGTCTATGATCGTGACGTCACACGAAGTATCGCGACCGAGTGCCGGGTGCACGTAACGTTCGTTGTCCTCTTAAAAGTGAGTCTTGCGTACGATTGTCGGGTATACATTGATTAAGAGAGGCGTACATGACACGTAATAATCATGTACAAAAGATTCGCGCCGCGTAGTACAATGTAATTGTGTATGTATGTATGTATGTGTGTGATAGATTTATTCGTCCGTTACGCGACGACGCGAAGTTGTTTATATACGCGCCGAGACGTACTTGGGGAAGGTCAGGACACGTCGCGTCGTGCCGGATCAAATAACACCTTCTAGTCTAGTTCGAGAGTATCTCGCGTACGAAAGATATCGGCAGCTCCAGTGAATCAGGAGTAAATCGTAGTATATTAATAAATACGTGCGCGATCGTAAATAACCGTCATCTCACGAGACGCGTTTCGTGCGTTCAACAAGTAGTCGCGTAATAAATTTCGCCATGTTTTTACGTCACGTGTCGTATAAATGGAATTCGCTCGCGGTATTCTTCGCGGATTCTATTAATTACATCGCACGCGTAAATGTAACACTGTGTCATTAGTGTCCGTAATCAGTCGCGTTTCTCTAACGGATTCGTATTAGTGAGTGAACTTTTCTTGCTTGGAGTCGAATTGGAAAAGAAGCAGACTCATCAAGGGCGATAATGGATCGAGGCAGGAAGGATTATGACGACACACGGAGCGTCTGGTGAGTTATTTAATGAATTAACAAAGACGAAAAATGGCATTAAATCTCGATGGATTTGTATGATTTTAAAATAATATATTATAACGTATTTTTCCCACGCATTTTTATTAAAAAATGTTGTAAGTTCCACAAATTTTTTTTTTAAGTTTTTACATATAAAAATAGTTTGTGATTTTATAAATATTGGTAAAATTTTGGAGAGAAATTAAACTCAAATCTATTTATATATATTAGTAAAATACGATAATAAGAGGAATCTTTTTTCACATTTATATAACGTAATTTTATTAATTGAGGATTAGGAAAAAATGCGCTATATTAATGATGTAACAATGTAAGTTATTTTGAAAAATAACACATTTATAATAATTAACGTCCAGTTGTACCAAAGTAAATTAAATTTAGTTGTAAAAATATATATACATAAATGTATTCATTATGTAGATAAGCAAAAATAATAGAGCTTCAAATTAATTAAAAGACAATTCAATTATATTATATTAATAATGTATTATTATTTTAATTAGTTTAATTTATTGTTGATTTAATTATTATTAAAATATTTAAGCCATTAAAAATAATTATAATTATTTTATACAAATAAAGATAAATATGTACAAGCAGGTTAATAAATTATTTTACTCACAAAGTAAACAAGGGAGCACAAAAATTCAAATTTTGCAAAATTAAATTCTGTTAAAATTTAGCACGAATTTAAAAAAAATTTAACAAGATTTAGATATAAATTATATAAAAATGCACAATTTTCACTGTGTGTGGTTCAGACTTTATCATAAAATGTTGATTTAAATAAAATGAAGTTTTTACAATGTTAAGATCAAGTTCGCACGATTTTGAATCCAGCGAACAGATCGATGCATCTCGAAAATTTAATCAAAGTTATTGGTACAACTGGATGTAAAATAATCCGTGGTAACGAACTGATTGCGAGGAGCGATTACCGAGAAATGTCTTTGATCTAGTCCATTTTACATAGATTACATCTCTACATTTCGTATCGCGCACGTGAATATCGCAGACATCTGCCAGGTATCACGTAATACACCAACAGAGAATAAGAGAATAGAGAAAGATAGTATATATATATGTATATATGTGGTCTTCATTACGTTGCATGGTCGCCGGGTATTTCCCATTTTAACGATCAAGTATAACGCGCCGGTGGCGGCGACGGTTCAACGAACCCACGGCATAAAATCCATTTACGCGTTGAAAAAAAAGAAAGGAAAAAAAAAAACGAGAGTAGGTGAAACACGCGGCAGTGTGATAACCGCACTATAGTAATATATGCGTGCGTGCACCAGGAATTATACGTCGCGTATCTTTCGCGAGGGTCACGTCGCCGCACACGGTCGTACCCTCGGTTTACGATGGGGACGCATATTCTTTGAGAAGATCGCGTTGTGGGGACAATGAAACGACGAACGACGAATGGGTGCTTCATGGGTTTGTTTTGACCGGACGAGACACTCGTAAGCCGTCGATAAAATTTAAATACTCTAATGCGTAAAACCGCAGCCCGACTGCAACGCGCGTTCGTGGCATTTGATGTTTGTCATTCGGGGCACCTCAATACACAAAAAAGTATATGCTGACATTATGGCATACACATACATTGTCACGATACAAATAAATAAAGTATTTATGTGTATGTGTCACTATTAAATATTATTACAAAATTTATAATTTATCGTTACACAATATCGTGGAAAGTATTTGATCGTAACTACGAAATTTTATGTTAAGGCAATAAAAATGCTAGAGAAAGAGAAAAAAGCATGATGTTTTAAAATATTTTGTTTAAAGTACATATATTTGGAAGAAGATGTTATAATTTTGAAATTTATATTTTATGTAATTAATTTAATTTAAATACGATTAAATTATATAATAATATAATTACGAAATTTTGATGAATAATTAAAAGCAATTAAAGTTAATTAAATCGCAAAATTAATTTTAAACATAGTTTAAGCTGTAACGTATTTGTTTGATTAAAATATAAGGCTACATATTGAAAAGATATAAGAATATATTTTTCATATACATAATTAAGCGAAGACACGCAATTTTCTCGCAATAGTACTTTTTCATCTATTAATCCAAATTACTAAATATTTTAAATATATTATGTATTTCTCAATATATAAACTATTCAAAGCAATTGCCCGCATTTATAACGTCGCTATATTATTATATAAGACTCTCTCGCTTTCTCTCTCATTGTGAAAGATAAACTTAATTCTTAATAGTATCGTTAAGATCTTAGCAGGGGTCACAATAGTAATTAACAACGTGCCGGCATTCTCTAGGCTATGATAATTAAATTCTAATGAACTCTCTCATGCATACTTAACGTATTCGTGCCAACCGTACCTACAAAAAAAAAGATTCCATTTCTTTTTTCATACCCGATATTAGTCATCATTTTTAGCGCTTTTACTCTACATTCTTTCGCGCGTATAATAAATAAATCAGGGCACCTACGAGGGATTGAAAAATCGATAATCGATAAAAATTGCGTCACATTGTCACGAGAATTTGCGTGGCGCACACGATTAGTTAAGCTCATGAGGAATGAAAAGCGCGAAATTGCGTGCCGCTGCGAGACTCACGTTTTTCGTTGCGTTATGTGACGCACTACCAAATGATTTCCACGCATGAGGGTGTGGGCTCGAGAAACGCGCGCGAGAAAGCGTTTAGGTGCCTTATGTGATGAACCCATCGACCGGGTGGAGTCTTTAGAGCCAATTTCACCGGCATTGTACGTAAATACTGAATCATTGATGCGACTCTGACGCGATGTTTAACGGCTTTTAAGACCGAAAATCCGAACGCACGTAAGAAGACAAAATTCAGCCGTCGGGGCTATCATTTTTCATTTCTCCCCTCGTCGTTTCACACGATCGATTCTCGTGCCACAATCAAGTCCCACCCGGGGATTCTTCAGCAGAGTCATGACTCTGCTGGAAAATTGATACGCTTGATCAGGTGCGACCGTCATGTGAGAAAGCACGTGGACAATGAAGCGTGCAACTTCGTGTCTAACGCGGGACTTTTAGCATTAAGAGGATATTACACTGACCAAGTCTGGCAGATGGAAACCAATAATTTCATGCTTGATCTAATTAAAGATAATTAACTACTTTAATCTTTCACAAATTTATATATGCAACAGTTATTAAATATGAATTTTTCTTAACAAAATAAAATTGATTATGGAAAAGAAGAAAAATTAGAAATATGAAATTTTTGATGTTTCTCAGACATATAAAAAATTTGATGTTTCATACATTTTTATAAATTTATTTATGATATTATAAATTTAAATATGGATTTTCTAATATTATAAACACAAATTATATAAAGTATCACACATGCAATAATAATTCATATATTTTATAAAAGAAAATCTAAATTATGTCGTAGTATGTCAAATTTCTATCTTATTACGTGTTCCTAATTTCTTCTTTAATTCTATATTATACATATATCAGAATATTAAATTTCGTTGGAAAGATATCGTAGAACGAGCCATTTGGCGCAATCACCTTTATTGGTATCGTCGATCGATCGATCGATCGATTGATGCATAATTCCTAAATGCCGACGGCGGCCTCTCTGTTGGAATTCATGGGCCGCTCGTAGGCGTCTAGGAATAACGGGAGAATTTCCCAGTATTTCGGCGACGACCCCAACGTGCGCCGACGTATATCGCACGTGACGCTCGCTGTCGACGATTCCTACCATTCCTGATGACGTATGCATGAAATTGCGAGACGGTTTATCACCCGGCTCCGTCGATGCGGATTGAAATGCGCCATAGTAACGAATTTAGAGTTAAATTCGTCAAAGCGTAAGTCCTGCGATATCTGATCCTTTATTTATTAACAACTGTTCCGATATAATTGTAAAGAATTTAAATGTAGTGAAAATTTTTTGCTGATCTAACTTTCTCTGATATGCTGTTAGATTATGGATATAATAATTAGAATGATAATTTTTTTTATGTCGCTTATAT